AATAGGGAATCCTTTCCCCATTGTTTGGTTTTGTCAGCTTTGTCAAAGATCAGATCATTGTAGATGTGTGGCGTTACTTCTGAGGCCTCTGTTCTGTTCCATTGGCCTATATATCTGTTTTAGTACCAGTACCATGCTGTTTTGGTTACTGTAATCTTGTAGTATAGTTTGAAGTCCGGTAGCGTGATGCCTCCAGCTTTGTTCTTTTTGCTTAGAATTGTCTTGGCTAAATGGGCTCTTTTTTGGTTCCATATGAACTTTAAAATAGGTTTTTCTAATTCTGTGAAGAAAATCAATGATAGCTTGATGGGAATAGCATTGAATCTGTAAATTACTTTGGGCAGTATGGCCATTTTCACAATATTGATTCTTCCTATGAATGAGCATGGAATGTTTTTCCATTTGTTTGTGTCCTCTCTTATTTCGTTGAGCAGTGGTTTGTAGTTCTCCTTGAAGAGGCCCTTCACATCCCTTGTAAGTTGTATTCCTAGGTATTTTATTCTCTTTGTAGCAATTGTGAATGGGAGTTCACTCATGATTTGGCTCTCTGTTTATCTTGTATTGGTGTATAGGAATGCTTGTGATTTTTGCACATTGATTTTGTATCCTGAGACTTCACTGAGCAATCTTGAGTTTTAATGCAATTCCTATCCAATTACCAATGTAATTTTTCATAGAATTAAAAAAAGTAATTCTAAAATTTATGTAAAAGCAAAGAGCCTGAATAGCCAAAGGAATCCTAAGCAAAACAAAAACAAAAACAAACGAAACAAAACAAAACAAAACAAAAAATACAAAAAAACCCAAAGCCACAGGTATCACATTACCCAACTTCAAACTATACTTCAAGGCTATAGTAACTGCTTATATATATATATATATCAATGGAATAGGTTAGAGAACCCAGAAACAAAGACACATCTGCAACCAACTGATGTTTGGCAAAGTTGACAAAAATAAACAATGAGGTAAGGACACTATTCAATGAATGGTGCTGGAATAACTAGTGAGTCATATGCAGAAGAAAAAAACTAGACCACTACCTCTCACAATACAAAAATATTAACTCAAAATGGATTAAAGACTCAAAGGTAAGACCTCAAACTATAAAAATCCTCAAAGAAAACCTAGGAATAATTCTTCTGAACACCAGGCTAGGCAAATAATTTATAACCAAGACCTCAAAAATGAAATCAACAAAAACAAAAACAAAAAGACAGTTGGAGCCTAATTAAGTTAAAGAGCTTCTCCACAGCAAAGGAAGCCATCGAGAGAGTAAACAGACATCCTACATAATGGGAGAAATTATTTGCAAACTACACATCCAACAAATAACTAATATCTAGAATCTATAAAGAACATAAACGACTCAACAAGAGAAAAACAAATAGCCCCATTGAAAAATGGGCAAAGGGCATGAATAGACACTTCTCAAAAGAAGACATACAAGTGGCCCACAAACATATGAATAAATGCTCAGCATTACAAATGATGAGAGAAATGTAAATTAAGATCAAATGAGATATCATCTCACACTAGTCAGAATGGCTATCACTAAAATGTCACAAAACAATAAATGCTGGTGAGAATATGGAGAAAAGGGAATGCTTATACACTTTTGGTGGAAATGTAAATTAGTTCAAACCCTGTGGAAAATAATTTGGAGATTTTTCAAAGAACTTAAAGTATAACTACCATTTGACCCAGCATCTCATTACTGGTTATCTACTGAAAGGAAAATAAGCCATTCTATCAGAAAGGCACCTACACGCATGTATTTATTGTAACATAATAGCAAAGTCATGTATTCAACCTAGGTGCCCCAAAATGGTGGACTGGATAAAGAAAACATGGTACCTATACTCCCTGGAATAGTATACAGTCATAAGAAAAATGAAATTGTGTTCTTTGCAGCAACATGGGTGCAGCTGGAGGCCATTATCCTGAGTGAACTAATGCAGAAACAGAAGATCAAATACTGTGTGTTCTCACTTGTAAGTGGGAGCTAAACAATGGGTTCACATGGTAATAAAGATGAAAACAATAGACACTGGGGAATCCAACAGAGAGGGAGGAGAAAAGGAGGCAAGGGTTGAAAAACCACCTATTGAGTACTATGTTCACTATTTGGGTGATAGGTTCGATAGCAGCCTCAACCCCAGTATTATGCAATATATCCAAATAACAAACCCATAGAGGTACACCCTGAGTCTAAAATAAATTTTTAAAAATATCTTTTATATCTCCTATTGCTATTTTTATTTTTTAGATAAGAATGAGTGTTTAAATATTACTTCACTGTCATCTTGATTGGCAAGTATTGGAACAATCTCAGTCTTTGTCTTCCTGGATCCTACTGCGGTGTTTGATCCTCTTTCTTGACATGCAGTCTTCTTTTAGCTTTCATGATACCATTTCTCCCAGTTTTCTTCTACCTCCCTGGCCTTTCTCAGTCTCTGTTAAATGATCCAGAGATCCACCCTTGGCAACAATCTTTCACCCAATTCCACTGCTGCCGGTGCTTTATCATTGCTACTGACTCCAGCTCAGGCTACTCTACTTGCATGTTCGTTAGGCATGCCCAGTTCAACAAGTTCAAGATCATTCCCTATAACATTCACCTCAAACCTGCTCCTCCACCTGTATAATCTAGTGTGGTAAATGGCACCCTATAAAATCATATATTTAAGATAGAAACCTGAGTGCTATAACAGATTCCTCCTTTAAAAAAATTTGGCTCAGCTACTCAATCACTGTCTCATCAGTTTAGCTCTTGTCTCAAGGTGAGCCTTTAATTGTAAACATAGAGAAATAAACAGCAATCTGGAAACAAACAAATGAAAAAAAGCAGAACAAATAAAAATGAAAACATTTTAAACTATTACTGAATCTTCTAAATAATCCCCCCAAAATATTCCACGCATAATGCACAGCAAACTTTGAAATCTGCTTTTCTCATTTTTACCTTTCTCTGTTTTTATTTTTATCTATAGCTACATGTCTTTCTTCTTCTATCCTATACCTGAAGAGCTCCTTTTTCCCCTTTCCCTGAAAAACTTCCTCTCTTCAAACCCAGCTTGCAACTATCCTCAAACCCAAGATCTTTTACTACCCCTTCTCATTTGTTGTTTCATGGTTTACTCTGGACTCTTTCTGATGTAAATCAATTCCATAACCTTATGTACCTCTCAGATTTCTCTCTCATTCCTACTTCTTTTAGCAATACAAAAAACTAAGAATTGAGTAGATTCACAGACATGTCCTTGGGAAGGAGGGAAGTATTAAAGAGGAAAAATGCATTTATTTCAAATTTAATATTTTTCTTTATTTACTGTCCAAACCCAGTTAAATTTCTTTCCTCTTCATTCCCTTCTATCCATTCCTGGCTGTAGCAATTATAGCCCAGTGTCAAGGACTGTGAAGGGACTGAAATTTCCTCCTAATTGTAGGTGAACAAGACAAACCATCACAGTTTCATGGATGCTGGTAGAAGACTCAAGACCCAGGAGTCAAAGACAAAGGACAATTTATTGTTCACAGTATAACCAATTGCCAGTGTCAGCATTATTGTGTCATTTTCCCAAGCACTGATTCCCACAGGATAATGCACAGAGAGCCAGAAGACACCTGCATACACAGTGAGGTGCAGTGCAGGAGAGACACCCTGAGTTTGGGGAAGCGAAGTCTTTTATAATGGGTCGTAAACATGCCTGCTCTTTGCTGGAGAGCAGGGTAGGAGTTAGATAATACCGCTATCCTCCACAGTTGCAGGCACACCTTCCCTTTTTTCTGGAGGAGACACGATCTATTATCTCCCAATGCTGTTCAATATACAAAAACCCTTGAAGAGATGGTCTGGAATAGAGAGCAATCAAAGCCTCATTTACAAGACTTGTAGACACATAAGGAGACCCATGAAGGTTTCTCTCTCCTCACCTCCTCAGGACAATTGACATTTACTGTTGGAATATTACAATATCTGCCCAAATGCCCAAGTTTTTCCTAGTCTTACCCTCTTCCAGCACATCCTCCCTCTGCTGCAAGGGTAATCTTTCATAATGCAAGTAGTGTCATGCACGTAGCATTGCTTACAATTATTCAATGACTGCTTATTTTCTACAAGATAATTTCCGTAATGTGCCACATAAAACTTTTTTTGATTTGACATTTGCCTGCCTTTTCAGTCTTCTTTTCCATCCTGTACTGAAAATATTTGGCATTTAAAACACGATTATAACCTTGCATTTAATATTATAAATAACTATTGGAGCTACTTCCACAAAGAAAGCAATTTACAAGTTATTGGACTTGAGATGGCCTTTTTAAACATATAAACTATTCTTAATAAAGTCCACTTCAAATTCTATTTGTACTGTTTGTGTGTAAATATGTGTGTTGGTGTGTGTGTTAATGACAAAGGAATTTAGAAAGAAAATTATTCTGTAAGGCCAACAAATAGAAGTACTATATATTCTCTGTTTATTTACATTTTTTTCTACAAGTATATTCTAGGCCTTGCATAGATCAACTGTAGTCAAACTTGTCTCCTGTCTGATTCTAACAATGACCCCTTGCTCTGATTTGCCACTGGGGTTTAAAACCCCTCTCTCAAGTTCACACAACTGTCCCTTCAGGGGCTTTGCATTTTTTCTCAGTCTGAGCTCTTTTAGACAAATGTCAGTTTTTTTGCCATTAGCCTTGTGAGAATTCCTGAAAATAAATAAACAGCTTGGAGAAGGAAAGCCACTATGGGAGTGGAGAATATGAGTCAGTGCCATGGTTGGCCGGGGGAGAAATGAACTTTTAGTTTACATTGTAGGTCTCTTACTTTGAGACTTGAAGCTGGGAGTGGTCTTGGAGTCCTGCTTCCTGACATCTACCCCCAGACTAAAAGTCCGTGCTAGGAAAGGGGTGATAAACCAGAGTTTATGAGGACCATTTATGATATATTGACACGTCGAGGTGATCTTTATAATAATTTTAAGTTTATTGATTTTTAGGAAGGATTGAAGCATTTTATATCTATTGCATCAAGAGAAACCCAGGCCTCCTGTAAAACGGACCTAACTCCGCTGCCTCCTATTTCCCATTATAATCCATGAAGGATTTATTATTCTTGCACTCACTGGCTGAGTGACGTCGGGTGAGTCACTGTCTGAGCTTCAGCTTCCTATCCATAAAATGGGAATAGCAATACAATGGGATTGTTGTGAAAACTGAAATAAAACAAACACTGTTATATGGAAGAGTATTTTAAGCTATAAAACGCTATAAAAAACTAGGAATTTGTATTCTTTGGCTCCTAAAGTCCAGACATTCTGTCTTATGCTACTCAGGTTTGTCTTCCACCTCTAGCAGATTTACATTCACAGAGCCAAAGTCATGAACATTTATAAAAATGTTGTTTTTTTTTTTTCCCTCAACTGTGGGGAGATGTTGGCCAAAGCGTAGGAAGTTTCAGTTAGACTGGAGATCTATTTTACAGCATGGTGACTACAGTTAATAATCATGTGTTATACAATTGAAAATTGCTAGGAGAGTGGATTTTAAATGTTTTCATCATAAAAACTGGTCAATACATGAGGTGATGGAGCTGTTAATTCAACTGATAAATCATTCCACATTATATACATATGTCAAAACATCAAGTTGTATACCATAAATATATCCAAGTTTTTATATGTTAATTAAAAATAAAAAATAGTAAGAATACAGTTAAAAGAGGAGTTTTGCTATTTTTAAAAACTATAGACATATAATTTAAAAAGATGGGTAGTATTAGTATTAATTTTAGTTCTTTCCCTGGTATAGTATAAACTTGATCAGGTTATTATCCAGCTTTGCCTCTTCACCCTTACTAGACTATGATGCCCTCAAGGGCAGCAATTATCTCTTCATTCCCCCAGTTCAACACAGCGTGTTTGTGAGTAGATTGTCAGTAAATGTTTGCTTTAAAAAAATGCATGAACTGCAACTTCTCCATCTTTAAAGAATGAGAGTAGGGGCTGGGCACGGTGGCTCACGCCTGTAATCCCAGCACTTTGGGAGGCCGAGGTGGGTGGATCACGAGGTCAGGATTTCAAGACCAGCCTGGCCAACATGGTGAAACCCCGTCTCTACTAAAAAATACAAAAATTACCCAGGTGTGGTGGTGGCCGCCTGTAGTCCCAGCTACTCGGGAGACTGAGGCGGGAGAATTGCTTGAACCCAGGAGGCAGAGGTTGCCGTGAGCTGAGATCACACCACTGCACTCCAGCCTGGCAACAGAGTGAGACTCAGTCTCAGGAAAAAAAGGAATGAGAGTGGGACTTCTTCAGGTTTCTTCTAAGCAAGGCGTGTGACTCATTGGCCGGTTGTGAAATGAATTTTGTAGGCCATAACTAGCATTTGAAATGCAACAGAAGGTAGTAGAATAAAAAATTAAAGTCAACTACACATAGCAAGGTAGGGATTGCTTTGTGAAAACTGTTTCATGCATGTATGTTTGTGTATAGTGTGTACAAGTGCCAGAATAGATTTCTTATTGTTCATTGTGGCCAAAAATGTATGAAAAACAGTGGACTGGTCCTTCTATTCCTAATATTACATTACAGCTACTACCACCATCATAATATTTTTATTTATTTATTTATTTATTTATTTATTTATTTATTTATTTTTGAGACGGATTCTCGCTCTGTCGCCCAGGCTGGAGTGCAGTGGCGCCATCTCGGCTCACTGCAAGCTCCGCCTCCTGGTTCAGGCCATTCTCCTGCCTCAGCCTTCTGAGTACCTGGGACTACAGGCGCCCGCCAACACGCCTGGCTAATTTTTGTATTTTTTGTAGACACAGGGTTTCACCGTGTTAGCCAGGATGGTCTCAATCTCCTGACCTTGTGATCCGCCCACCTCGGCCTCCCAAAGTGCTGGGATTACAGGCGTGAGCTACCGCGTCTGGCCCATAATATTTTATATTTGATTACTACTTTACATTGTGCAAGGACTGTTTATACCCCCTCCCTCACATAGTCCTCTATTATAACTTAGGATGGGGAGGAATATGTTATTACTCTTTCCGTTCTTCTTGTGGTAGAGGAAAGACTTGTATCCACAACTCCACCTTCTAGGATGGACTGTCTTTGTTCGGAGAAACATTTAAGTAAGTCCTGGGAAGGGTGGCTGGAGAAGACATGCTCTGAGGACAAATGGAACAGGTTACCATCTTCTCCAGGTAGAAGGTGGTGTGGGAGGCAGGTGCCTGGGTGTGGAGAGAGTCCACTGAGGCTGTATGGAGGAGGGAAAAAGCTGAGAGAGATAACCCTTAAAGGAACCCTTGGACAGTATGGATTCTTTAGTGGAATGTTTGCATGATCTGACCTCCTTCCCAGGGCTCTACCAATCTTTGGATAAGTTCTTTGCAAAGCCATGAATTTCCAGCTGTTACTGAATTTCTTGTGGAGTCTGGCACAGAAGCCGATTTCTTCATCAAGTTGTTGCCAAAGTCAAAGCAGAAACAGCATGTGTGGATGAAGAGACAGTGAGCATCTGGGTTATATAAAGATGAAGACACTGAGGGTCAGGGAGGCTTGCTGACAGAAGCTAAGTATTGACTAGAGGCTCTCGGTACGCTTGGAACTAGATGACATGGAAGGATAAGATCAATTTTGTTTCTTTTTAACTGGGATGACTCTGTGTCTCTTGGTCACCACATAGTGTTTTCTTGAGGTTCTGTTGTGGTATCAGCTATGGATGGGTACATGAGTGGGCTAAAAATGGCCCACACATGAGTGGGAAAAAGGTCAACAAGAAAGTCACAGCCTGCCTTAGGCAGGGAACAAACATGTCTTTATCTCTCTCTTTTTTCGGTACTGGAAATAATACAGAATTGTGGATGTATGTACAGTTGGGTGGAATTTTCTGCTGGTGCTGAAAATGAGGAAATCCATATTATGCCTCCTGCTGCTGCACCACAGGGATGAATAGTGAGATGTCACCCTCAGGTTGCTGATAACTGCAGCAGGCAGCTTTGTGGAGTGTCTACTGGAGGATGGTGGGTGTCTCTGAGTTTTGTCATTATAAGGAGCTATGCTACAGCTATTATATTAGGAAAGCAACAGTAAGTACTATAAAAATCCATTTAAAAAAATCCCAAACAAACAAACACACAATAAAACTAAGCAATTTCAGACAAAGAGACAGAATTCTCATCAATTAGGCACTTCAGTCGCAGGGTCTGTTTCTATATCAAATGTCTGTTCCTATGCAGACTGGGTTAAAAACAGATTATGATGGGACATTGAGAGGACTTGAGACTGATATAGTATTAGGGTAGCAAAAAGGTTCAGGCACTGAACAAGCTGTGATCAGAGAGGCAGGGCTAACGTCAAAGGTCCTCTGTACTGCAATGATTCCCAAATTGCTGTAGTGGTCGGCGGTAAGTGTTGCAGCTTCCAAGAAGACTTTATCAAGTGACTTCTGCTTCCCCAACCCTGATAGATTTTAGTGAATTTCCCCCCTGTGTCATCCCTCTCCCCACCTCCTTTTCCCTTATCTCAACTAGCTGAAAATTACTACATGCAAAGGAGTATTACTCATGGGCATGTGTGTGTTTGTAGCAGCATGGTGGCATGAAAAAGCCCAAGAACTATGGATTTTTGTAGTGTAGACATTGTTTTACATTACATGTGTAGAGACCTGTATAGAGTTCTGTTTTCCATGGATTTATTTATTCTTAACAACTTCTATCAGGTATAAAGATCTTCTCTGGCTACTGGAGTTGTTTTGTTGCCTCCAGAGTGGGCAAACCAGGTAAGCAGCTTCTGCCCCAACAGAATCACACCTGAGCAAGGCCAACTCTTGTTGAGGTGCTCTACAGTTTACAAAAACGCCTTTGTAAACCCCCTAATGCTGTTCAAATGTAATTGGAAATTATTTCTGCCGGGCCCCAACCGTCTTCTACACTCAATAAGTCACTGCATGCACAGTGGTCTCTTTATGAAATTCCCCATCCTACATTTATGAGTAGGTAACTTGATACAGCTTTTTGGTGCCTTCTTTGTCTGTAGGTAAATAGCTCAGGGGGATTTTACAAGCCTTTCCCCCATGTCCCAAGAACAGTCATCACCAACTGTGAGTCTTGGAATGGGGCTTATCCCATGCATTCACATCTTTTATTTCTGAACCTCACAGAATCCCTGTGGTGAGATAATGCCTATTTTATAAGTAAAGAGGTAGGATAATGCCCATTTTATAGGTTAAGAAACACAGGTTGTGAGAGGCCAAGCTACTTGTTCAAGGGCTTTAAGTTGAGGTCCATTGACCCCCAGAATGCCCCAGAGAGTCATTAGACTGTCAACCCATGAGGTCAGGAATAAGATCTGTCTTGCTGATTGTTACAACTTCAGAAAGTAGTGTGGAGCAGTGCTCAGTAATGCCTGCAGAATGAATGAATGAGTGGATGAACAAATGACTGAGTGAGGATCAGCTGCAGTGTTCAAATCCCTTGGCACCTAGCCTGGTGTCTGTTATGCAGTAATGCTCAGTGGGTATTTGCTGCAAGGATGGGTGAATAAAGAAATGTGTGGGTGCCTCTCTGAGGGTCTGACATGGGGGCTGGAAGTTCTGTGCTCACTTCTCTGCACTCACCTCCAGGTTTTGCAGCTAAGGATATGTCTTTGGCTCATTGTTGACTCTTTCTGATAGTCTAGTAGAAGGCTCACCTGTGGTGCCTGGGAGCCTCCCTGTGCTCAGCACACACAGTGGGGCAGCAGGAACACACACCTGTCAGAAACATCTTTCCTCTGTGGAAAGCAGACCTGGAATGTGACTTGAGCCTCCCAGAAGTACATTCTCCCCACCTCCATCTCCTGGGGCTATATATGGGAATCTTCTACCCCACAGGCTAGCAATAAAAAATCAACTGTCCCTCTCAGAGAAGGGGCATCTCTGGGAACTCCAGTCCTCAGGCCTGGTCTTATTTATTGCCAGCCTGCTTCAGAGCTTCACAAATCCCAGGGGGCCTCACTGCTCTGCTCCAGATCTTCAAAGGACTGTTGATACTTGATCTCCTGTCCCAATTAATCGGCTGCTCCATGCATTCACAATATCATCCCTGTTTGCAACTGCATGGTTGGAATGCTTTTCCTTGCTGTGGCTTTGCCACTT